CGTTACACCACAGTCTTCCCCTTGCGCAGCAAGGGTGATGTCACTGAGGTGTTGATCCACAGGATCCGCGCAGCTTGTCTCCAGCTCAGGCAGAGCTTCGGCTCGGACTTTCCTGTTCTGCGTCTGCACTCTGATAGAGGCGGAGAGTTCTCCTCTGGCCTTCTGCGAGCCTACAGTCGTGCACGAGGCATCCGCCAGACCTTCACGCTTCCGAACTCTCCACAGCAAAATGGGATTGCTGAGCGCCGCATTGGCATGGTCATGGACGTCGCCCGTACGTCCATGATGCATGCGGCTGCCCCCCCTTTTTTGTGGCCGTTTGCGGTTCGGTACGCGGCGCATCAGATCAACCTTCACCCCAGGGTCTCCATGCCGGAGGTGCTGAGCCTGGGGGTGTGGAGCCTGAGGGAGCTGGGCCTGCTCGTGTCGTGTCTGGCGGTACTGTGCCTGCAGGTTCTCTGGGTGCTTCGTCTTGGCGGGAGCCACTCTCTCAACAGGAGCTGCGCGAGTGGTTTGCTCGGCGCTGGAGGCGAGCTGATGGAGCTGGAGGTTCTTCGGCTACTAAGGGTGCTGGTGTCGCGGGTCCCGGAGGTGCTCGTACTGGGAGTACTGGAGTTGCTGGGCCTGCGGGTACTTCTAGAGCTGGAGCTGCTGCAGGTGTTGGCGCGGAGGCTACTGCTGTCGGTCCTGGAAGCGGACCTGCTGGGGGTGCTACTGGTGCTGCTGGAGGTATTGGAGCTGGAGGTGCTGCTGGTGCTGGTGCTGCCGCTGGGGGTACTGGTGCTGTCCCTGCTGTGTCTGGAGTCGCCGCGCGGCCTCGGCCGTACTTCGTTCCGCTCCTTCAGCAGGTTCTTGGTCTTCCGCCTTCTACTGGTCCTCCTCCTCCCTTAGAGTGTCCACAGCCTGTCCCGTCACAGTTACAGTTACAGCCGACCTCCCCACTGCCTGCTCCTTCTCTCTACACTGGTCCTACTGGAGGTCTTGCTGAGCGTCGTGAGCCTGCATCTCGACCTGCGTCGCCTGTCCGTCCTACTCGCACTAGTGGCCGTGGTTCGCGTCAGCGTCCTCCTCCTGTCCCTGGCACGCACCGGATGTCTCAGCGTCCATCCACTGCTCCTCTGCGTGCCCCTTTGCCTTCTCCTCCTGAGTCCTCTCTTGCTGCTCTTTCCGACCCGGAGTCGGACTCTCTTCGTGCTGCCAGTCCTACTGTCACGCGTCTCCTTGCTACTACTGACCCTTCCTTTGAGTCCACTGCTGCGTCTGCCCTAGTTGCTGAGCTCGTCGACTTTGCTGCTCGCTGTCGTCTAGACTACGCTGCTAGTCTTGTCGCTGAGTCTGAGTCTGTCTGTCCTCCGTCCGTCGGGGGTGAGTGTGCCCTTGGCACGGACGTCCTTGAGGACAGGCAGGAGGAGTTCCAATGTTTGGCTACAGCTTCACCTCATCCCGTGTCCGTACCGCTTACCCCTGAGGGAGACCCGGATGCACTTGACATCCCGACTCCGCGCTCTTACGCGGAGGCGATAGAGGGTCCCTACTCCTCTCAGTGGCAGGCAGCTATGGACACAGAGATGGCTTCCTGGAAGTCCACAGGCACCTACGTTGACGAGGTTCCCCCGCCTGGGGCGAACATCGTCAGTGGCATGTGGAATTTCAGGGTGAAGCGACCGCCGGGTTCTCCGCCTGTCTTCAAGGCGCGTTACGTGGCTCGTGGCTTCAGTCATCGGCAGGGGGTTGACTACTTTCAGACCTTCACTCCCACCCCGAAGATGACCACTCTTCGGGTACTGCTGCATATAGCTGCTCACCGTGACTACGAGCTGCTGTCTCTTGACTTCAACACTGCTTTCTTGCAGGGCTGCCTGCACGAGGAGATCTGGCTGCGCCGTCCACCTGGGTTCACTGGGTCGTTCCCTCCTGGTACCCAGTGGATTCTTCGGCGGCCAGTCTACGGTCTTCGCCAGGCACCGCGTGAGTGGCACGACACACTGAGGACTACACTTGCGGCTCTTGGGTTTGCTCCCTCTACTGCCGACCCGTCGCTGTTTCTGCGCACCGACACTTCTTTGCCGCCGTTCTACATCCTCGTGTACGTCGACCACTTGGTCTTTGCCACAGCTGACACTGCTGGACTCGCCCACGTGAAGTCCGAGCTGCAGAAGAGACACACGTGTACAGACCTGGGTGAACTGCGCAGCTACCTTGGCGTGCAGATCACCCGGGACAGAGCACGCCGCACCATTACCCTTACTCAGTCACACATGGTGTAGCAGGTCCTTCAGCGCTTCGGCTTCACGTACTCCTTGCCTCAGGCCACTCCTCTGCCTACTCGCCACTCGCTCTCAGCTCTGCCTTCGGATGAGTCCGTAGAGCCGAGTGGCCCGTACCCAGAGCTTGTTGGCTGCCTCATGTACCTGATGAGCTGCACACGACCTGACCTTGCATACCCTCTTAGCATCTTAGCACGCTATGTTGCTCCTGGGAGACACAAACCAGAGCAAATGGCTGCAGTAAAGAGGGTGTTGCGCTACTTGTGCAGTACGTCGGGCATGGGGCTTGTGCTTGGAGGGCAGAGTCCAGTGGTCCTCACTGGGCACGCAGATGCTTCTTGGGCTGACGACCAGGCTACACAGCGATCGTCACAGGGTTACACCTTCAGCCTTGGTTCCGGCTCTATTTCGTGGCGGGCTACCCGCTCGTCCTCTGTTCTCGGCTCTAGTTGTGAGGCTGAGATCTACGCAGGAGCCATGGCTGCACAGGAGCTTCGCTGGCTCACCTACCTGCTGACTGACCTCGGAGAGCCGCCTCGTTCTCCTCCAGTGCTGTACGTAGACAACAAGGCCATGCTGGCCTTGTGTCGGGAGCAGAGACCGGAGCACAGAACGAAGCACATTGCTCTTCGCTACTTCCTTGCTCGTGAGCTACAGCAGCGTGGTCAGCTGCGCCTTGCGTACGTGGCCTCTGAGGCCAACACTGCTGATATCTTCACCAAGGCGCTTGTGCCTTGTGATCATCAGCGCTTCTGTACTCAGCTGGGTCATGTACTTGCCTTGCCTCACTTGCTCACCACTTGACCTTGTTTGTACTGTTACATATATATATACACCTGCTCTTGCTTGTCTAGCCTTATACATATATATGTAATCCTGCATGTGATCTGGCCTTGTGGCCTTGAACTTGTGCTCGGAATGTGTGGTGACCTTGTGATCCACCCTGCGTTTGCTTTGCTTTGCTTGACTGGTCTTGTGACCCCTTGTTCTCCCCCACTTTGCCTCTGGGGGTGTGTCAGATTTATATGACATAGCTGTTGTAGGCTATAGTGGGGTAGCACATATGGGGTACGACTTTCTAGGGTTTGTACTTGTACCCAACTTTCCCTTAGTCAATTGATTCTCGTTCATTTTCTCATCCCCCTGGCGGACCCCTGTTTCACTAATTAAAGGCGGGTGATTAAAAGCTTCTTTCAGGTGCAGTTCGGACGGATGGCCGTAGGAGAAGTTCACTAATGGCAGCAGTGGTTCCAGCTGTGAGCCTTTCAAGGCTGTCGCTAGGGCGTGGCGGTCAACGCTATTGAAAGCGTTAGCGAGATCGGCTTGCAGGACTAACGCGTCCTGGTTGGCCGAGGTGAATGTTCGAACTACATGAATAACTGCTTCTGCTCCTCCCGGCACGGCCACTCCAAACTGTAGGGGTAAGAAAAATTCTTTGGCCGCTTCTGCTAGCTGAGTAAGTGCTGCTTTGGCTGTTAGTCGGAGGATGCATTCACCGATGGCTATTGGCCTGGTCCCTCCGTCAGGCTTGTCAAGGGCTATCAGCCGTGATGCGGCAAGAAGCCCTCCAACTTCCTTGCACAGCTTCCCGCGGAGGATCGTGTTGACTAGCGCATGTAAGTGAGAACTGACCGTGGAGTGCATCAAGGCAGCTTCGCGCAGGTGCTCGAACATCGTCAGGGCGCTGGGCACTTGGGTGCCTTGCGCGTAGAGATTCCAGAACTTCTGGCGACGGCTTGCTGACCGGTGTGGCTTCGAGTGCCATGACAACTCTCCGCAGACTGCCACGTCGCGCCAGCCCCTCTGCTCTAGAGATTACCCCCAGGTCATCTGGTTGGTGCCTGGGGTGGGGAGGAAGATCCAACGAATCCACTATTTCTTGGTACAGTGCTTCCCACTCCCCTCGCAGGAATTTACGCAATCGGCTTCTGGTCGCCTCCCAGTCTGGATGCTTCGGCGACTGCTGACGCAGTGTTAGGCGAGCGGCAAACAGCAAAACCGTCCAGGCTTGGATGGAATCTGGGTCGTCGGCAAGTCGCAGCAGTGGTGTCAGTAATACCATTGCGAAAAGCAGGCGCAATTTTCCCGAAAGGCGACGAGCCAGAGGTGCGTTGCGACTGTCGCGTAGCTTGTCCAGATTCCAGTCACTGACGCTTGCAAAAAGCGTGCCATCCTTGGCGAGGGCTTTTGGCGATTTCTGGGGGGGGAGCTGTGATTACCGTTGGTTACCCCTCGCAGCAGTTCGTGGTGCAATTGTGGGTGCTGGTGACAGGGTTGGATGGTTGGGCTGGTTGGCAGTGGTGTCAGGGTTGTTTGGAGCGGTTCGAATCAGTGGGGGTGGACGCGGTTGGGTGGGTGAGTTATTCAAATTTGTTGCCGCGCCTCGGGTGTGGGTTGAGTTGCCTCTCTGCCAAGCAGGAGTTTGTGACTGGGCCTCCTCCGAGGCATTCGATCCTGAGTCTGCTTCCCCCTCCTCCACCTCATAAATACTCCCCGACAAAATGTCTGCTTCATTAGCTCTTTCTAAACCAATTAAAGCCCGACGTGCAGCTACCTGGAACGCGTTCTCCGGTCCGCCCTCGCGCGTACTCCTACCACGCCCGCGACCTCTAGCATGGCCTCCGCGCGTCCGTGCACTAGCCGCGTCCAGCGGTGGATTCACTCGACTAACTCCTCCCGCGTTCTGACGCGACCGTGCGTCCTCGATCGCCTGCTGCCTGCGCGTTCGCCGCAATGGGGACTGAAGCTGAGAAGTCGGCGGTGGACCAAGGTCACACCGCTGAGAGCGGGATTGCTCCGCCTCCGGCCCCTCCTGCAGCTGTTGCTGCTGCTCCCCTTGCCCCCCCGGCTCCTCCTGCCGCTGGTGCGACGTCCTCAATTCATGTCCTGCTGACTCCGGCTCCCCCGCCGAGCCTTTCGCTCGCTGTTCCCGTGTCCGGCGCGCCGGCTCCCATTGCGCAGCCGTCACTTGTGGCGCCGCCGCCTGTCCAAGCTGTCGTTGGTGGCCCTGCGCCGGGGACAGCGGTGGGCGCCGGCCCCGCACCTGCCCACCTAGTGGCCCCTGCGGCTGCGCCGGTACAACCCGTCGCGCAGCGGCTCGCAGAGTCACAGATTCGCGGTGCCGCGGGGGGCAATGCGGCAGCGCATCGGGAGCGAGGTTCTCCTCGGCGTCGCCCCTCCTCGTCGTATCGGTCGGCGCACCGTGGAGGCCGCGGTGGCTTGTGGGGAGGTCATGATCGCCGGCGCGGTGGGCCAAGCGAGATGCAGCAGCTGTGCGAGGATTTCTCGAGGATGTTAGCTGCGGCGATGCGCAATGCTCTGAATGGCGCACCGAATCTTGGAAGCTCGCTGGCTCCCGCCGCTCCTGCGCCCGCACCAGCTCCTGTGAATGTGCAGGCTCCGGCCGCACCCCTTGCTGCTCCTGCGCCCCATGCATCGGCGTACCCACGGGTTCCCGCTCCTGGCGGTGATCGTGCTCTGCATGCCTCCTTGCATCCTGTTTTCGCTGCACCATATCCCCCTCTGCCCTGGATTCCCCCTCTTCCGGACACGGGATTTGTGGGAGCGGGAGGCGGAGAGGCGAGTGGGGCCTTCGTCCCTCCGCGACAGCGTGCTGATATTCCGTCACTGCAGCCACCGCCCCCACTTCCTGTTCCGGCTGTGGTTCAGACCACTGGGCTGGCCCAAGTCCCCACGGCGACTCTTGCTCAATTGTGGCGATTGGTGGAGTGTTAGCGGGCCTTGACACTGATTCTAGTGAAGTCAAATTTTGCCATTCTCCGGAACCCAGGGAGCACTCTCGATCGTGATGCGCGAGCTGATTGCATGGCGGCTGCTGCTCAGCTTGCCTTCCTCCTCCTACCCGTGCTGGGAGCACCCGCGTTGGGAGGCGTAGCGGTCTCGCAGCTGGACGAGACGGTCCAGGGTCTGACAGCACACCTCCGCGATGGAGGCGGGGCTGAAGCTGTCGGCGCGACCGCGTTAATGGTCCAGCAGCTGTGGAGGACCATGCGTGGTATCCTCGCGGCACTGGATGCCAATCTGATGTAGTTTCGGGCACCCGCCGCATGTACACTTGCTGCATCTCGCTTTCTAGTAGCTGGGCTCGTGGCCCATCGATGTCTTGTCGCGAGAGCTTATTGTTTGTCCTGCTTTTAAACCTTGCCACCCAGATGAACTAATGAAGAAAAGAGGTCCCCACGGGACACTTATATAGGTAGGAGACTAGGGGCAGAGGCTGAGGGCAGAGGCTAAGTCCTCTCTCTCAAGCAGTCATGCATTTATATGGGTCACAAGGTACAGGCATGGCAGGTGGTGGTAACTAGCTTGCCTAGATATTGGAGCAGCCAAGGAACCAAAACTAAACAAGCAAACAGAGCAAGCCCATCCATCCTAAGCACCCCTAACTCTCAGAGCAGCCCGGTCCCCAGCAGCTCAGGACCATGAGAAACCCCCTTCTTCCACCTGTCCCCTGTCCCTCCCATACCACACTATCTCCCCTTTATCCTCCTCCAACCCGCCGCTTCCTCGCACCTTCCCTGAGACGCCCTTCCTAATCCCTGTTCCCTCTGACCCACACTGACTCAGCACACCCCCCCCTGCTTCTCACCGCGCCCATGTATCCCTCCCTTGCCGCCACCCATCCTCCTCCTGTCAACGTGTTCCTTTCTCCCCGGCCCCCTCAACCCCTCAGGCCGCCCTGGCAGGGGCGTGTCTCTCTTCGTACTCGTCCTCCAAGGTCTGCCATAGGTCACCTAGCCGAGGTGCCCAAGGGTCCGCCGTTGTTTGTGGGAAAGCCGCTTCCGCTGCTCGGTTTGACTTGGAGAGGAGGGAGATCGCTTGGCTGCGCTGGAGCACCATGGACCACTGTTGCCTGAAGTGTGCATTGAGGCGGGCGGCAGTCGTCGTGAGGCGTCCCTTCCTGTACTTCGTCTTGGCGGCATAGGTGGCTAGCATACGGATGAGCTGCTGCGTGTCCTTAGCCAGAGCCCCGTAAGTCCCTACCGCTAGCCCAAAGAAGCCGGCATAGCTAGGGCGGCCCTCGTAGAGCCTGTGCTTACCCTCGGAGGCTTCCTCTGCTGCCCACCCCGGCGGCTTCCTAGCTCTCTTATCCCACTTCTGCAGTACGGGATCTGTGACCGTGACATCGGTTACCCACGTTTCCCCCGACTCCTGGTCCCGAATGGCCAGGTCTGCTTGCTTCCGGAGGACCGGGGGAGAGAACGCCGTGGTCTCATGGAACGTCCTGTAACCCGCATCCTTGGCCATTCTGAGAGCTGCAAAGACCAGGGCGTTGTGGGTCCTCACAACGTCACCGCCATCCCCACACCGCAGGAGGTGGTTGGGGAGGCTCTTGTCGGAGATGGTCGAGTTTTCCCGCTTGCAAGGGCACACCTCGGCGACCGGCAGCTCCATGCCCAAACGCAGGATAAGCTAAGGTCTCCTCTCGTTGGCATGGCATGGAGCCAGTCACTCGCGCCCACCCCCTTTAGGCTGATGAGGCGGATGGCATGACCCCTGTCCTCCCCCGGCCGGTCCTGCAGGGTGTCCGCTAGGAGTTCCAAGGCCCGCCGCTGGTTAATAGACTTCGACAGCCCCAGCTACATGTTCCCTGTGCCCGGACTCCCCGCCCTGTACTGCTCCAGTGTTGCTCGGGCTTCAGCAAGGAGGGCACCCTCCATAGTGGCTCTGGGGTTGAACTCTGGTGGCGGTGGGACCCAATCGTGGGAGAGGAGCTGAGTCGATCGGCCCAGGAGGCAGTCAGTTGGCAGGTCCAGCTGCCTCAGTAGGATGTGTGCTGCCGCGACTGAAGCCAGGTAGGCAGCGGGTGCTTCAGAGATAGGGTCAATCACTCCGAGGCCACCCAGGCGGATAGGAAGTGTTCCCTGACGCCATAGCAGGCTTCGTTCAAGCTCGGAGGAGGGGATCCGAAGTTTCGCCGCAGTGAGTGCCGAGCCCAGGAGAGCCTCGCTCCACTCCCTCCACTCTCGCGTGCTTAGTGTTGATGCCGGGGTCGTCCGAAGCATATATGAGATCCGCCGAGAGATGCTACGCGAGACCATGAGAAGCGCGTGCTGCGGGTTTAGTTGCGAGATGAGGAGGAGTGGCGACGCCGCTTCTCCCAGTGCCGCCCGTACGTGGTCAGTGCAGAAGCCATCGTTCCCCACTGGACTGCCCAGCACTTTGATTCCCCCCTAGTTCATGGTCAGCCCAAGTGGCAGCTCCTCCTGCTGCCCGACCGCGTTCCGTCCCCATGCTGATGATTTGTCTATGTTTCTACCAATCCCACCGCTCTCAGAGCCGAGGCGATCGTGTTGAAGGCGGTGCAGGCAGCCTCTCGTGAGCCGACGATCGTGATGTCGTCCGCGTAGGCGACGATCGCCACCTCCGGCAGTGTAGTGGCCACGCTCAGCAGGGCTGGCTGGATCGAGCGGGCGAACTCCGCGGGAGCTCAAGATGTGGTCTGTGTCGAAGCGTTGGTCAACTAGTAGCCGCGACGGGCCATCGTAGAGGTTTCGGACTAGGGGGAGGAGGGGACTAAAGTTGGACCACTGCAGGGCCTAAAAAAATGCTCTGCGTTCAACGCAGTTGAACGCATTCTCTATGTCCAGCTGCAGCGCAATCCGTGCTTCGTCCTCCTGAAGTAGCGCTCTGACTGAGTGGATGATACACTCCGCTCCCCCCGGGATAGCCACTCCGAACTGGTCCGGAAGAAAGAACTCTCGGATCTTAGGACCAAGTGAGTGAAGAGCCGCTTTCGCTACTATACGGAGTAATGTTTCGCCAATCGCGATAGGCCTGACCCCACCCCCTGGTTTCTCTAAGGCTATCAGGCGTGAGGTTAGGGTGAGGTCGCGCAGCTCCTGAGACTGGAATGTGCTAAGGAGTGTGTTGACTGTCTTAGCGAGTAGGATTAAGATCTCTTCGTTGGCTAGAGCTGGATCTCTCAGGTGCTCGAAACATGTTCCAGATGGCCCCCCACCCACCCACCCCACCCATCCTCTCTCTCTCTCTCTCTCTCTCTCTCTCTCTCTCTCTCTCTCTCTCTCTCTCTCTCTCTCTCTCTCTCTCTCTCTCGCTCTCTCTCCACCTACGAAATCTGGAACCAAATGAACAAATGAAGAAAAGAGGTCCCCACGGGACACTTCAATAGCTAGGAGACTAGGGGCAGAGGCTGAGGGCAGAGGCTAAGTCCTCTCTCTCTCTTTCGCTCTCTCTCCACCTACAAATCTGGAACCAAATGAACTAATGAAGAAAAGAGGTCCCCACAGGACACTTATATAGCTAGGAGACTAGGGGCAGAGGCTGAGGGCAGAGGCTAAGTCCTCTCCCTCTCTCTCTCTCTCTCTCTCTCTCTCTCTCTCTCTCTCTCTCTCTCTCTCTCTCTCTCTCTCTCTCTCTCTCTCTCTCTCTCTCTTTCTCATATCCTCTTGATCTCCTCCATTCCTTCCTTTCACCCTAAACCCACAGCACGGACGGATTACGTGGACCTTCATTCCATGGTGGTTCCTTATTTGCCTGCTAGCTCGGCGCCCTACTGTTGTGACACCATGATGGGTTCCTTATTTGCCTGCTAGCTCGGCACCCTAGTGCTGTGTCACCATGGTGGGTTCCTTATTTGCCTGCTAGCTTGGCGCCCTAGTGTTGTGTCACCATGGTGGGTTCCTTATTTGCCTGCTAGCTCGGCGCCCTAGTGCTGTGTCACCATGGTGGGTTCCATATTTGCCTGCTAGCTCGGTGCCCTAGTGCTGTGTCACCATGGTGGGTTCCTTATTTGCCTACTAGCTCGGCGCCCTAGTGCTGTGTCACCATGGTGGGTTCCTCATCCCCTCTTTGCTCCCATCTCCTTTGCACTGTGATGCTCCTTCCACTCTTGCTTCCTTGCCCTCCTCTTCTTCACGCCTCCTCCCTTGTGTGTCCTCTGACAAACATGCATTTCAATGGCAGCAACAGGTGGCAACAGGATGGGCTACGAGCCTCTTTGATGGTAATGCTCATCGCTTCAGCCTCTTCTTCTCTGCCCCCAATTTCCCTTTTTCAGCTTCCCTGTCAGCATCTCTTCTTCCTTCAGCTGCATTATTTCTTGGCTCTTCCTCTCCTCTCTCTTCACAATCCTTTTCACATGCCTTCCCTACTTATGTTCCCTTCTTGAGCAGTAGTGGGCGGAGCAACAGCTTGGAAGCAGCACTAGAGCACGCCGGTACACAAGAATAGCACATGCTTTCATACTAATTCTTGTGGTGGGTTTCCGCATCCACTCCCCTTCTCTTCTGCACCACCCTTGCAATGTGCATCAATACCCCTTCCAACCCCACTCTTCTTGTCGTTGTCTCTCAAGCCTTTGCCTTCCATGCCCCTTCTCTCCCTGCCTGGCAATGCAATTCGGCTATGGCTGATTCTTCAACACGAAAGGGACCATAAGCTTCATTCTTGGCCTTCCACATGCGCGGTTCTCTGTCTTGTCCTCATACCTTCTCGTTTGTCTCTCGTGTGCCCTTCTCTTTCCCTCTGCTTCGTTCTAGGTGTGTTGTTGACATGACAGGGTTGGACTGGCTAGCCAAGGATTGCGATTGCGCAGCGTTGCCAACTGGAGTGGTGATCACATGAAGAGCTCGTCGTTGTTTGTAAAGGTGAGCAAACAGCAACCCAACACCAGGAAAAGCATATCATACCATACCATATCAGATCACATCATATCAGATCATATCATAACATATCATTTCATACCATATCAGATCATGTAAATTGTGTAGGTATCTAAACCTTGTAAATCTTGTGTCCGAATCGGACAACACCCATCATTTCCAATCGGATCTGATTTTATCATGCAGAGAAGCTCAGCTCATGTCTGCATTACCTCCTCCTCTTGTCTGCTTGCAGGACAACCAAAGCCGATCCAGCAGATAGGATATGATTAGATAGGTTGCCTCTGCTGGTAACACTCTCAGGTATGCTATCCCCCGTCTCCCCCTCAACCCCCAAGTATCCCCCCCTCCCCCCCCCCTCCCTTGAGGTTCCCCTCTGCCCCCGCTCCCTCCCCTCCCCCTGCATAGGACTCCCCCCACACTCTCTTGCCCTGTCCCTACTTCCCCCCTCCACCCCCTTCCCCTGCTACCACCTCCTTCTGCGACCTGCCTCCCGTTGGGACCCACCCACCTCAGCAAACCCCTGCGTAGGCCTTTACCACAGGGCTAACCACAGGGCTGAGCACAGGGCTTACCACAGGGCTGACCACAGGGCTGAGCACAGGGCTTACCACAGGGTTGACCACAGGGCCAATCACAGGTGCTAATTACAGGGCTTACGACAGGGCTATTTACAGTGCTAATCACAGGGGTTACCTCTGTTAGAGTATAGGCATGAATGGATGTTGAGTATCAAGAGGGTTGGTACAAAGGGAAAACCTAAGGGGTTGTACCCCACAGTGAGTACCCCACTAAGCCTACCCAAACTATAAAATATATATATATATGTGTTTGTGTAAGGAAAATCATTTTTCCTTACTTCGCATCCCTGCTCAACGCGTACATCACTATAGCACCACAGTCAGCACCGTTACCACTTGCGACCCTCGCATCGACAATCAGCCCGCCATTTTGGCACATCGCACCCCAACCTCACGGCTCGGCTGGTAACCCGCGCTCCGGGCCTCCGCTTCGACACTTTCCCAAACCTCAGTCCCAGGCCCGTCACGCGACAACCACAGTCCATTACCGTTACCACTGTAGTTTCGCAATATATTCTTCGCTCATGCCTTCGCTCATTGTATTCTTGCTTTGATAGTGCAATTCCCGTTCATTTCCTCAATTGCACTCGTAACAGTTTGACACACCCCCATAGGCAAAGTGGGGGAGAACAGAGGGTCACAAGACCAGTCAGGAAATGCAAAGCAAGCTCAGGGTGGATCACAACGTCACCACGCAGTCTGAGCACAAGCAAAAGGCCATAAGGCCAGTTCACATGCAGAGATATATATGTAACAGTCAACAGCACAGTGATCTCTACCTACGAGAGCAAGCATGCAAGTATACATATAGAACACAATACAAACAAGGCCTACAGCAAGTGAGGAAGCGTGGGTACAAGGCCTAAGAAAGTACAGAAAAGCTGATGATCACAAGGCGGGAGTGCCTTGGTGAATATATCAGCAGTGTTGGCTCGAGTGGCCACGTGAGCAAGACGAAGCTAGCCACGCTGCTGCAACTCTCGAGCAAGGACGTAACGCAGAGCGATGTGCTTCGTTCTGTGCTCCTGACACAAGGCAATGGCGGCCTTGTTGTCGACGTACAGCACGGGAGGAGAACGAGGCCGCTCTCCCAAGCTGGTCAGCAGGTAGGTGAGCCAGCGTAGCTCCTGTGTAGCCATGGCTATGGCGTAGATCTCAGCCTCACAACTGGAGTCGAGAACTGAAGACGAACGTGTAGAATGCCAGGAAACTGAACCAGAGCCAAGGCTGAAGGTGTAACCCTGTGACGACCGCTGAGTAGCCTGGTCCTCAACCCAAGAAGCGTCTGAGTGACTAGTGAGGACAACGTCACCCCGTCCTCCGAGCACGAGCCCCATGCCCGATGTACTGCACAAGTAGCATAGTACCCTCTTAGCAGCATCCATGTGCACCTTTCGATGCCGACTAGGAGCCACGTAGCGAGCCAGAAGGCCAAGAGGGTACGCAAGGTCAGGTCGAGTGCAGGTCATCAGGTACATGAGGCAGCCCACTAGCTTTGGGTAAGGACCACTCGGCTCTACGGACTCGTCCGAAGGTGGAGCTGAGAGCGAGTGACCTGTAGCT